GTTCACAACTTTTCCATAAGAGCCCACTCCAAATGGCTGAACTATCACTTTAAGGCCATTCTCAAGTGAAGGATTAGAAAACCCAGCTTATATATATTGGGATGCAGCCTAAACTGGACCATGGAACAATTAAGTGATTAATTAGCAGCTTACAGAAAGAATCACCTTAAACTAAAATTATTTGATGCTACGAGTTCTTAAAGGAAAATTAGATTAAACTTTTCTTTATCCACTTAATGCCCTGTGCTTATATTCATCCTGCAGGATGCCTGCAAAACTGAGTGAAAAAAACATAAATCTCAACAAAGAGTTCACAGTGAATCGATATCTAATCAAACCAAAGTGTTTGTTGTAAAGACAATGCATAGTCATGAGAGATGTGGGTAAAATTGTTAGTCTGAGCAAATAATTGAGGTTTTGAAATAATAAAATAAAATAAAGATACGTTCCAAAATACGCAGTGCAAGCTGTTTTAAAATTGRATTATTCCAAATTAGTTCCATAAATGTAAATTCATTTTAGCGCCAACAGTGGTGGGTATGATTCCACTAATCAGCTAACAGCTAATAGCAGAACATTTGTTTTGTTTAGTGTATTGGCCTTTTCACTAACCTTAAAAACAATTAGCAGATCAATTAGCTTCCACTAAATTAGGTTTTGCCAACTTTAAGTCAGTTAATAGCTAACAAACAAACTAACATCAACAGGTTTGTCAGTCCCACTGGTCTTCAGCTGGAAGGAAACAAAGACATGTGACACAGACTGAGTGACAATTAGCAATCAGCTGTTAGCGTTAGCTAATTGTTTTACATACTTAGCTATTTACCATTAGCAAAGCTGTACTTTAATTTAGTGGATTTAGCGAAGCTAACGTTTTGGTTAGCTGTGCCCACCACTGAATGTAGCTTTGTGACCAGCTCAGTAAATGCCCTTAGAGTAAACTCCTTACAATGTGTAATCTATGTTTTCAAGTTAACACAGTGCTGGAGTACTTTGATTTCTGCTAAAATAAAAATCACTTTACCCTTCTGTGATAAGATTTCTTCCTAGGTCCTTTTGTAACACTATTGCACAGTTCTGAACCTAAAAGCAAAGAGTGACTGAGGTCTGATCTTATTTTTGTGATAATTTTGTGGCTGATAAATAAAAAATAAAAAGCACAGGAAGTAAAGTGCGCTGTATCAACCTGTGTGCTGCTACATGTAGTGGAGACAGAGTTGTACGAAAAGAAAGATTATCAATGAATCTTTTCACTGTTGCATTRGTGTTCTGCATGCATTTTTGATTTACAGAAACTCAGTCACTTCTTCAATGCCGCTGTGAATGTAAACAACAGGAACAACAAGGAAGAGGTATCATAAATAATCAAAAGATATCTGAGCGTTGTTAGAGCTAGAGAAAATATTGGCACGTTATCATACTGTTTAAACACAATACTGGATGACGATCAAGTTGTCTAACAAATATTTAAATCATCCAGTTGTTTTTGTCTCATGATTCACAGTATTAAAAGTGCACTATCTGCCAAAAACACACCAAAAATGTTGCAGGTGTGATGTTTTGTCTTTTAAAATCTACCGCACACTTTCTTTGATTTCCATATTATGCGTCCATGCTACACACTCTGGCTCCTTCGCCTCGCTCACACCTGCGTCTCCACACCGATAAGCTTAGGCATCAAGATCCGAGGCGTTACCCCAGAGTTTAGGTCCCTGTCAAACTCCAGAAGCTGACCCATGAAGTTGAGATTGGGCGACACCACCGGCCGACGGCTRCGCACGTATTTGTAGGCATCCGTCATGGTCATGAGGGTGTGCTTCATAAGAGAGGCGATGACGATGGTTGCAGAACGAGACACACCTGCCTGGCAGTGCACCAGRACTCCCTTTCCACTCTGATATGCCTCCTCTGCAGATGAGAACAACAAAAAGATGAGGTCAGTTTTGCTCTGAGGTAAAATCCACTGTTGCCTCATGGCCATGTATTAGGACCTACTCTCTTTATAATCTACATTAACAGTGTGGGGTAAAATGCCAAAAATGAATCAATACATCTTTATGCTGARGATAAAGTGMTTTCACTGTCATGCTTATTTGSTGCATCTGACATTACTTATTCCCGTTGGTCCTATCTCAACTGGTGCTAAATGCTGACCAATCTAAAGGTCTGTTGTGAAGAAGCTGATCTCAAATATTGGWTCAAGGTCTCAATCGAGTTTTTTTCATTCTTTTCATTGATTGGTACYTGATCGTAAAGGGGGTATTATGTATTTTCCAGGCACATAGTTCAACTCCATACCAAAATCAAGTAACTATGTAACCTTCAGTTCTTATAAAAATGCTGTATAAATAAAAAATAAATTTGAATTAGCATCATAGCCCATCTAAACACCTTGAAATTGGCCTCTGTCTCTTTAAGAACCTCCAACCATAACCAAGCTTTGTACCGGCAAGCATTCGGGCAGCTCCGAATGACTACCACAGGAGATTCAGAGTTTGATCAGTACTAGGAACAAAAAAATCTTGACTGAGACATTCTTAATACATTATACTCAAATGAATAAAACAAACAAACAAACAAACAAACAAAAAATCAGTTTTCTCCATAGAAGACACACAGCTGGATCAGTATCTTCCTACAAATATCCATTCATTTTCCCAGGTCTTCATTGTAGGTAACGGGTGCTGGTGTCTATCATCAATAACCATTGTGTAAGAGGCGGGGAACACCCTGGACAGGTTGCAAGTCCATCAAAGTTCAAAGAGACAAACAACCATTCACACTCTTAACTAATGACATTTTAGATTTACCAATTAGCTTATTTGTCTTTCATTACATGTAAGGTACCCACATTACATACAGAACTTATATTGCATTTTTTATGACTATAATGGCCTTTATTTTTATTTGAAATAAGTCTCAGTCAAGAAACTGTCCCAATGACATTGCCTGTAAATAATAATCACATATTATAATAATAATAATAATCAGTATAATCACCATATTTTCATCTCTGTTATGCTTCATTTTACATCAATATGACTGAGAAACCAAGAATTTTAAAAGTAAGTTTACGACTAAATTGTGGCCAGCTAAAAGCTTAAATAAACACTTTATTTCACCTCATTTTGCCAGGGTTAACTATAAAATTCGACCTTCGCGTCCACATCCTGGTTTGAGTCTGTTTTTTCTGGAGAATGGACAAAAGGCTGATATTTAGTAAGACTAACGCACGTAAAGATACATCAGTTTTTGAAAGTGAGATGCTCACCAATGAACTCAAAAACCTCCTCAAAGTACTGCCTGAGGTTCTGCTTGCTGTTGTCTGTGGCTGGGAGCCGTTWATAGCGCAGTCCAGCTTTGACATGGTACAGGGGCAGGTGTGTGGTCACGTTGACCACGTAGCCAATGTTGAGGCYCATCAGCAGGTCCAGGTCCTGGGCATCTCTCTCGTTTCCCAGAAACAGGAAGGGCAGGATCGCGCTGATGACGGCGTTCTCCGCATCGGGGGTCATCACAGTTTCATCTGACAGAGACGCTGGTAATGATGAGGACAGTGGCAGAGAGAGTCTCACTGGGGAAAGACAGGGAAAGTGTGGAACATGTTTGTATTCTAGGGAGAATAAAGTGTACAATATACAGCTTATGTATGTGGTAATACCAGAAAGCTTCATATGTGAAAACTAGTTTGTAAAGACAGCTTTCAAATCAATATGTTAGTGTTTGCAATTATGAGGTATCATTTTTATCTACTTTTTCTTACTTCGGTTGTTCTCCTCGTCTTGCTCTCTGTTAAGGGAATTCAGGGCCAGGTGTAGAGAGTGAGCTGATGGCAGAGAGTGTCCTCCCTCCCGCTCTCTCTGCCATGGTTTGGGTTTGATGAGGGTGGTCGGGGCGGACGGTGGAGGGGAAAAGGACACAGGTGATGGCGGGGACACAGATCGGGAAGAGTTGCACTGGGGATATGCTACATCTTCGTCTGGCTCAGGTCCATCGCTCATCCCTGCGTCTTCTGCTTTGTTCAGGAGCCTCTTCAGTGAGTTATGACCATCCTCATACCCAGATCCCAACCTGCCACTCACAAAATTAAGGGCCGCCATTTTGCCCTGCTGAAGTTGCCGGCGCCCAGCATGGTCTGTGAAATGCATCTGTCCGTATCCTTGGAGATTTTGACAGTCCAAGAAGGCGAGGCCTTTTCCATTACTGTCATTCTGAGCCACACTTGCACAGGTTTTCCCAAAACCTACCCCCATCCCAGCACGGTTATTCTTTTGGGCTTTAGAGTGGGTCATCTTCTTGGCCAGCTCTTCAGGCCAGATAGTCCGCACATTGTAGTCATCATCATCAGCCTGGTACATAGCCATCGGGTGAGCTGCTCCGATGTTTCTTCCTGGAGGTTTCCCTCTCTGAGGGTTGTATGTCACCACTATGGGGTCACTACTGCAGTAGCTGCAGGAAGAGCTGCCTGTCTGAGATGCTTTGGGGTTGCAACCCGTGACGCAGCTTTGTATTGCCCTCAGAGGGCCTGAAGAGGACAGAGGAGTACAGGGCAGGCATCCTCCAACAAGTTTCTTACGAAGAATGGCAGGACTCTCAAAGTTTCCTGCCTCAGCAGAGCAGGATGCACAGCGCAGAGGTTTAAACAGGTTTGCTCGGCAGTCCGAGGTGGTGCTGTTGGTTGACGAAGTGTTGGAGGTGGAGGCGGTGGAAATACAGCCACCCAGATTTTTCAAGCCCATGTCTTTGCTTCCTCTCTTCATGGCTCCAACATTGTGGCCACAGGAAAACGAGGTGGAAGTGCTTCCTCCACCTCCCTGGAAGCTAGAGGAGTCCCCCTTACACCCACCGCATCTCATCAACCTCCAGCAGCCACAACCGAATGGGCGTGTGCAGTCGATGGTYCAGGTATGGTCAGGGCTGGGGAACCTTCCGGCATGAGAGGAGCAAGGGGACACAGAAAGACCATGAAGGATATGGGGGCGGTGGTCCCTGGTGCGAGGTGGGTGAGGCTGACTAAACTGCTGAAATAAGACTGGTACGTGAGGGGGTTCAGAAGGAGAAGATGAAGGGTATGTGGAGTTTAGGATGGCAGCGTGGGGCACAGGGACAGAGTGGTGGTGGTGGGGTAGACTGTTGCTATTGTGACTCTGATGCACAGTTCCCAGTTTGGAATTCTTCTTGTAACTCAAAGAGGTGTATTCCTGCTTGCTTRTGTTGTGGAAACTAGAGTTCTCCTTTTCACCTCTGAATATATGCTGCTGTGCCTGAGCGGGGACAAACTGTAAGACCCCTCCAGGGGAGGAGGACAGCTGACGAACTCGCTGTGGCTTGTGTTCAGCTCCACCTGGCCTCCCTGCYCTTCCAGTTTTTCTCTCGCATGTCCCTTGATCCTGCTGCAACGAGGCCCATCTTCCTCGACCACCTTTTACACTTCCAGCACGTCCTAATGAGTTGCTTAATCCTTCTCGCCCCCCTTTGTCCACCGTGACTTTGATATCAATAGTATGTGTGTGGGAGGGCAGCCGTGGGCCGAGAGTCACCGTACCATTGCTGTGGCAGTGGCTTGGCACGTGTCTGACGCCCGCTGAGACGGCAGGGTGGTCGGCCTTGAACTTCTGCACGCGAGAGGGCCTGCGCTTGCATTCCACACTTAGAGATTTACACGAGGGTGAATAAAAATGGGACTGAGAGGTGTGGAGGTGAGGAGGGTGGGGAACTCGTCCATTGGAAGTGGCTGTTATGTGAGAGGCGTGCTGTGGAATGGTTTGCGGGGAAGCATCACACAAGGCTAAGTTTTTAGGGCGCTGAATGACCACTATGCGCTCGTCAAGAGGGAGGGGAGGCATCTGGGCTCATAAGAAGCTGAAAAAGAACAGAGACAGAAACACATCAGTGAAYAAATCACCACATTGTGACACATGTAGTTATAAGAGAACACTTTACATTTCATTAACTTGAGCTCATCCAAGGTTATGGATGTCAGTCTGTGGCATCTATAGTATTAAAATTTTGAACATAATTGTTTTTAGTATTCACTATGATTTGGGGCAGTTTATAGTTACAGTGATTAATTTGTGAAATGTGAAGTATTACTCTAAATTCATCTTAAAATGAATAACCATGGAAGAGGAGATGGGTGAAGGTGCAATAAATGTTTCCCCCCTGATTTCTGACTTCTTTTTCACAAAATTATGACTTTCCCAATTCTGAGAAAAAAAAGGTTAGGTTTCTGAGAAAACAGTCAGAATTATGAGATTAGTCAGAAATGTGAGATTAAACTGGAAAATGTATGGTTAAAGTGATAATTATAACTTTTTTTCCAATTCTGAGAAAATAAGTCAGAATTTTAAGGATAAAATTCAGAGGTTTAAGTCAGAATTCAGGTAAAAAACTTTTTTTTGTCTTTGTTCTGTGGCCTTAATCCTCTTCCATAAATAAAAAACACATTCACAATAAATTAATGCTTTTGTATAACAAAAAGGTTAATACAAAACACATTTTACAGCCTTTACTTGTGATGTATGTTTCACATTTTCTCTTCATGTATTCAACAACAGAAAAAGAAAATCTGGAAACACAATCAGGTGCATGTTTATTTGAAATGGATTTTACAGAAGTGGGTCATGTTTATCCATTTAAACATACACCTCAAGATGTTGTACCTGCTTACACCATGKCCACTGACCTGATGCTTTAAAAGTAAAAACCGAAAGACCCAAACCTGACTGCTGTTAGCGACACATAATCCAAGCTAACCCAAATTGCAGTGAAACCAAACAAACTTCGTCCCACTGAGGCAGCCTGTTTCCTGAAGTGATGGCTCTATCATTTCAAAACGAAAACTTATAGTCTCAGTTTAGAGCAGCTAAGCAGACCCACTCCTAAAGAAAATCTTTTAAAACAACCTCAATTTTTTTTAAATTCAAAGCAGCCACACGTTGTTGCTTAAAGCTTTACACCACTGACAATTTTAGTTATTTGGCAGAAATATGATATTTTTGCTGCAAGTGCCTCCGGCTGCCCTGGAAGTGCTTTTCAATAACGATAATGCAAAATTGATAGTAATGTAAAAGTTTATAAAATAGTGTCTGCATAATCTGCTTTGAAAGATTTGTGATTTGATTCAAGACAGGAATCCATTAGCTAGAAAAATTAATCTTTCTGTAGCTTGTCTGACCTAAAGCGTCATCTATAAGTCATTTTTGGCAACTTTTTTAAAGCCGCTTCAAAATGCCTGAATTCTCTCTTTTACAAGATGCATTTACATGAAACAATAAGCCTCGTTTTAGCTGGTGTTGAAATTAGCTAAATATAAAGTAATGGTTGTGGATGGTCCTTTTCACTCTATATTCCTTAAAAAATTGTGTTTTGAAAAATAGAACAAAAACACTTTTATGATGCAGACAGTTTAATGTGAAACAAATAAATCTATTTCCATTATAGATTTCKCTCTGAGGAAACAACACTGACTCACAGCTAACAGCTCACAGAAACCCTTTTCTCTAAAGACTTGTGTGATTGTCTGAAATGAAATTATTCCTGTTCCCGTCGGTCTAATTTGTTTGTTCTGCCCCTAACAAAACAAAACAATCCGATACGGAGGATTTAGTCATGGTATACATAAAAGGTCCCAGCTCATGTTCAAAACATGACACAGGAAAATGATTCAAGTTATGTATCATTAAACAACTTTTCTGATTAATGCTACAACTGACAGGTTGCTACGTTTACTACAGTAGTTTAATTTCTATATTCCTGCAGCAGAGTTATTAAAGGGCCGTTCTAAAACATTAGGATGAAATATTACTGTCATTAAAATGAAAATCCACCCCCCTGACACACACGTTGTTAAAAACAGTCTATGATCTTTGGTTGATGAAGTGCTTTAATTTCCTTTTATCTTGTAGAATAGTTCTGTGGGTGGCACCTGTGGTCACCCAGGAACATTTTAGCTCACTAAAACTAGCAAAAGCTTAAAACTCAGTTTTGTCTACAGGAAGAAAAAACAAACAAGCAAACAAAAAATAACAAAAAAACAACTTTAGTTACTTTAGCTCCACATCATTTTTATTGGTCAGGAGAATACTGAATTAACCAAACAAAAAGAATAAAAAGACAATAATCACTCCTAGAATGATCAGTTATACTGCATTTCATTTACCTTAAAAGGCCAAGGCTCTTATCAAGATATTCATGCATTTTTTTCCTGCATTTTAAAATTTCAAACACTGTAGCAACAAATTTACAAATGTGTTCAGCTACTTGCAAACTAACTAAAGTACAAATAAACAATTTAAATCTCAGATTAATTCATTTAATTCAGATTTCAAGGTCTATTCTAATTGATTTTTCTGATTTGGATCTCAAACTTTTCTGACTTCCAAATGGTACATACTTTTTGAATGTGATCTTTTCTCTGCTGAAAAGAAAATGCCTGCAGACCACACATTATTTTTACTTTGATTCTTTCAGATTTATCAGATCGTTGTCTCTGAGGTTGATTATTGGAAGCAGAAAATAAAGGGATGTGAAAGACATGCACAACACGTATTTCTTACAACTATGTAGCTCTCTTGTGGTCTTCCTGTTCTGCTGTTGAAAAGCCTCAAAATAGTGAATCAGCAGCAGAATTTTAGATGATCAAAAACATGTTTATGTGAAGACTGGCTTGTGTTGATTGGTCCAACAGAAGAACAAATCTTTCTTAGAAATTATGCTGGTTTTGATAGACTGTGGTTGAACACAGAGTACGGTTGGTCATGTTTAGCTGAGTAATGCTTTCGGTCATGTTCTTGCAAAACTATTCACTATTTACATGATCTATTTAAATATAACTGCTAATYAAACCCAGATTTCATTTATGGAAAATCCATACCCTGATGACAGTCATCTCAGTTAGAAGAAAATTTACTGTATCACACTATAAGAAGTAAAGAATTTTAACTTGGCATCCAAGTCCTCTAAATCTCAGTGCAACCGACTACTTTTAAGATGTTCTGGATACCAAAAGGTCATCTTCACATCTCATAAGATTTCTTACTAAACCATTGGCGACTGATTCCACAACACATCTTTTTTGGGTCCATGGAATTGGAAGGATTTTTGGGAAAATTTATAATAAAAAACAGAAATACGAAAAAAATTTGCACTTGATTTGACTGTTTTCTTTCACAAAAACAGCTGAGCCTGTCTTTAAACTTTATAAATCACTAATGTGAGCTTTTATAAAAAACAAAAAGCTGACATCACAAAACCAAAAGAGGCGTTGAGTTTAAGGCCATCGCTCCTCTAAATCATCTGACTGACTAGTCCGTCTTCACTTTCCTCAATGGCTCAGAGGAGTAACAGCTGCAAGTTGACTTAAACCCCTTGTGCTGCTATGGTCCTTACATAGATCCCACTGAGACAGCAAGAGGACACGTCAGGTCAGGCTTGAAGTGTTTTGTGAAAAGAGCATAAAAGTGGATTTTCATTTTAAATGGACACGATTAAACCCGTAGTTCTGATGATTCTCTCAGGGAATGGGAAATCACCAGATACTCATGACAACACTGTCAGACAGAAACAAAAGGGACAGATATTCATGTGGCACTGAAACCCACAGACCAACGGGGAGGGGGAGGGAACATGTCAAAACAATCTTGGGATGCCTTCAGGCTCCAGTTACCAACCCATTGAGAAAGCAAACCATGCTCCAGTGTCGCCATGCCTACGTCCACGCACAGTCTGGTGAAGTCATCGCTTCTGATCCTCCCCTTTTTCAGCCTAGCCTGTGGTGAAGGGGGTGGGGGTTACAATGACCCAGTTTCATCATGGTGGAAGTCACCATCACTCTGATCACTTTTCTCTCACCAGCAGGGTGTGTGACAGAAAGAGCAGACTGGCCAGTGACGTCCTCACTCAGACATACTTATAGTTTAAAAAACAAAACAACAACTCAAAATACAATAATAATGATTTCACTGTGGAATGTTTACTGGGTTTTTTTTTACAACAAGAATACAAATTAATGCACAGAGAAACACAACTTTTATTTATTCAGAGTACAAATATTTTGTTGTACCAATGTTACTGGTACCAGCGCCAATAAATACAGGCCCACGCTCAGCCAACTTTCATTTGTCATTTGGATGCAAAGTAAGAAGCCCTTTGTCTAATTGTGGTCAGGCCTGCTGGAGGAGGAGGGAAGAAGGGTGGTGCATTTGAGGTTCTACCCAAATCTCCTTCAGCTAGATGCTACTGATGGTGATTCCTTCTCCACAGCAAGGCTAAAGCTGAAGATGGAGGCCAAGAAATCACCCAGAGAGGCTTCCAACAAAGAAGTGGGCCAGATCTGGCAATGATGGCAATGTTTTTATGATGGCATGTCACCACTGGTCCAGTTGTGATTTGGTTTGTGTAGTCCAAATCTGCCAGTGCCACAACTTGTAGCCCATTTCGCCATGTGGCTGGTTTATACTTCCACAAAAGGTGAGACAGACCAACAGTGATTACGTCATTTCAGACGTCTTTTGCTGACGGTTCATACTGGCACAGAAAACTCAGCAGATAAATTCTAATAATTCCTCCCACAGCTCTCCCAATGTAACATGTCATGCATAGCTACGCTTGAAGAGAGGCTCGGTTGTTGGATGAGAAGCAGTGGTGTGCACAGATAACCAAAAAGCTAGGTTCATAAACCACTAATCCACAAAACAAGAATCTTAGCTCTGCTAATGCTAAAAAAAACGTGGAAGCTATCGCTAACCACTAATAAGACTGTGTCGTACGCCTTCATCTCTTTCCAGTTGAAGACTGGTGGAACTGACATGAAACTGTTGTTAGTTTTCTATTGATTTAATTTAAAGGTGGGTGGGATCCTC